GACGTCGCGGCCTTACACTGCCGCGATAATAACGCGCTTTATTGCGCGAGCACGGGCGCGTTTTCGTTAAGTATTCGCGCGTTACACCGCGCGCGTGTCCCCAATCGATTTATCGTAACTCAATCGTGGAATTTGAAGCGACGAGCGGCGCAACTGCCGAGCGCCCCAGCGCGATCGCTGAGTCGCCGTCAATAGTCGTAATTTCGCCAACTGCCTCGTGCAATTCGCGCGGATCGATGATTATCAATGAAAACGTGAGATTCGAAATTCAACGTGTTATCCCTCCCTGCCGCGGATAGACTCCCGAGGAGCGAACGGGATGCCTCGATTTCGGGAGTGCCGACGTCTTGTCGGCGCGAAAGAGAGGGAGTTATGCTCAGAGAATTTTCCTTGGCGATGGAAACACAAATTATATAACCAAAGAAATGCCACATAGCAGTCTTTTGCATATACGTAGGATATACTTATAAAGTAGAACAGATTTCAAGACAGTATGGGAAATTTATACAGGACAAAGAGAATATAAAACTCTGCATGCAGAAGTGATTTTTCGCAAGAAGTATAGAACTTTTTCAACAGCTTTAAAAAGTGAAGGAAAATTCCCACATACGAGAAAAATTAGTAAAAATTACTATAGAATTTTGTCATCAAGGAACAGACTGATATTTTGCAGCAATTTATCATCCTTTCATTTTTCATACATGCTGCTTATATTTCAGGAACTGAAATATGTTACCAAAAAATGAAACATGTTTCTAACGAAATTTGTTATGTCGCTCAGCAAGACATTACTGACAATTTATATACTTCTCCACTATTAAAAATATAATAAAAGAAAAATCAATTCAAGGAGTTTACTTGTGCAATAATTTCTTTGCAAGTAACGACAAGCAATGCAACGTGAGCGATATGGTTAATTACCCATGACTGGCCAGAAGCGCAATTATGTCTTTCTGCTATTCCGAGTTTTGCTATGCGAGTTATTCGAATTCGACTTATTTTCGACTTTAAATAGTAAAAAAACCGAATTTTTGTTTTAATTTACTATTCTCAATTAAAATGCAAATATTGTTTAGACATAGAATATATATTGAATAAATTTGATGCTTACGATGAATCTACAGTAGACTTGCGAATATATAAAATTATGGAATACTTGAAACAAATATAATGGCATGGAAAAACTAAAAAAGGCTCTGATGAACATAAAACAAGATACAAAAAATAGTTTTTAAGAGCCAAGCACGGATCTTATAATGCTTTATAATGATATATGTATAACACAAATATATTTGCAAAGAACAATTCGACATTTGAAGAACGATTTGATATTTGAATTATAATTGCGTAATATGACTTTTAACTTGTAATACTATTGAAGAAGGTCCGGTTGAGGATCAAAATGTCTGGACTATTATGTTAGATCTAATTTATGTTTTTGTAAATTTTTGTAAATTATTATATTGATTTAACTTGGATTTTCCTTTGTAAATATACTTGAGTTGTAGCGCTATAAATATAATAGTATTTACTTGAATGCAGTATGTATTTCTCTGCACATAGGACGTTGTATTATTTAACAAAAATGTTCTGCGTGTAGAATTTTAGAAATTGCTGTTTAGTCTTTAGTGTAGTCTTTACCATTAGACATGTAACGTTTAGCACAGGCGTGAGACGCAGCGCACGCTAAAATTTTGTAGAGAGAGAGAGAGAGAGAGGGAGGGAGAGGGAGAGAGAGGGGAGAGAGAGAGAGAGAGAGAGAGAGATTCGCGTTGTCGTTACGTTTTACAACGCCGTTGTTGAGACGCAGTTGTCAAATTTCGCGAGAAGTGCACCGCGCAGTTTTACTTTACGATTGTGCGACGCGCAGCTGCAGCGCGTTGCGGCGAGATCGTTAATGGCGCGCGCGGCGCGATGCAGTGCGTGAAACTGCCTGTTAATGTTGCCGAGCATAGCCGGCCATAAGTTGGGAAATATCGTCGGTATAAACGCAAGGAGCGGGCACGCAAACGCGACGGGGAGGACAAGGAGAAGAGATACGGCCGGCGCGCTCAGCTCGTTGCAAAAGCGACGCGGCAAAACCGCTTTTACTAGGCGACGACGAGCGCGTTACAGAGGAAGAACGTGACTTGAAAATTCCTAGGGAAAATCAGCTTCTCGTCGGCGTGCCGTGAGAATAACGGCGTCATATTGGATTCTATCAAGACAGTGGATGCTTTGGGACGCGCGCGCGGCTGCTGCGACCTAGATTAATCCTACGGGTTTTCGCGTATTCCAGCGATGCGCAGAGGAAGAAAGGCAAGGAAGTTGAAGGCGAATCTTATTTCTTTTTGCGAAAACTGCAATCCACCGATTGTTCGCCGATCCGGGGCGAACAGACGGGGCGCGCCATTCTTTCAAATTGAATCGATCTTGAGCGTTCTCCGGGTCAAACGGTCGCCTCGCGCTGAACGCTAACGTATTGAATTAGCGCGCCACGTAAAATGAAATTAAATATCTCCAAGCAATCTTCGCATGTTTCGCAGTTACTTATCCTCTCTCCCTATCTCTTTTACTATGTTCTTTTTCTTTCCTTAAGGGAAAGGCGCTGGAGTTGAAGTCTTCATCAACAGAATATTGACTTTCTTCCGCAAAGCTTTTTATTGGCTGCATGGAATTACTAATGCTCTTGCACAATAAAACTATGTGCGAGAATGAATCGGAACATTGCTCAATATATGACAAAAACGAATTTCAAAATTGACACTTCAAGTGTAAATTAAACTGTCAGACGATGTCAGTTAAAGTATAAATATTCGCCCGATACGAAAGATTTGTAGCTTGTATATACTGAACGCGCGCGCGAGTTTGCTCCGCTCAGAAAAATTTCAAAGAACATTACCGTGCCTTTACATCTAACTTTGGAAAATATCGGAAAAGTTTGCAGAAAGATTTCTACATATGTTAAGTTTACGGCTGAAATACCATTTACCGTTAAATACGGTAATTAAGACAGCGCGTACTTTAGCAAAAATTAGATTTTATGGTGAATATCTGTTCTGCAAAAAAAGCATGCCTCAAAGATAATTATATTAGCCTCAACAGAAATCTAAAATCAATACAAATATTTTTTTCATTGCATCGGTTATCGCATTTTTCAGTTATCGGTTATTTTGTTATTATATATTATATTATATATTATTATTAAATATTACATTTTATTATTATTTTATTATTATTGTGTTATTATTATATCTTACTATTTTTTTTATTTATTAAAGGAATAATTTACTCAACGGAATCCTCAATTTATTTAGGAATTTCTAAATGAAAAGATTAAATCTGATTTTTTATAACTCTCATTTTGCGAAATATTGTTTCTTTCATAATCTACTCTATGAACGGATAACTATATAACCTTAATGAATAAAAAAGAAGATATATTGATTTCAAGTCACTCCTATTAAAATTGAGATGGTTGCAGTATGATTCTTCTGCAGAACAGAATTGAAACAGGCACAATAATGTTAACATTCGTCATAAAATCTAATTATTTTATATCAAGGTATTGTTAATAGATATACATGAAAATGATACAAATTTCGTATTACTATTAATTTGCGACTTTTTTACTTCTCTTCTAACTTTTCGCCTAATTTTCACTCCTGTTAGGAACTGCTATAACCCTTCAACGGGCTTTCCTCTGTAACGTAACTTGGCGAACTTGGCAATTTTTCAGTTAACTTCACCTTTCTCATGCAACGCGCGGGACCGTGTTACATACGGCACGGTATAAACGCTCAGAATGCCGTGGCGATTTTGCCGTGGACATTTGCCGTTCCTGTATCGCAGTCTGCCGTTGCAGCGGCGCGTCGGTTGTTCGCGTTACGGGACATCGAGATAAACTTTCGGAGCGCCGGCTCTGAGGAATAACTATCGTGGAACTAATGTCGCGTGGCGGCGGATGTAGCGGGATCCGCGCTGGGTCCATTTGATTCCATTACACGGCACTTAGGGCCGTAACGTACGGGGTGTTTCGCGCGAACTTTCGCGATTTCGAGCTCCGGGCCGGCCGCTATCGCCCACGGGGCTCGAAACGCTCGTTCAAATTGCGCCAGCCCGATTACGGCACGGATACCGTTAATTAGGATCTTACGTGAGCCGCGTCCCACGCGCCGCCCGCTTACCCGTTATCCTTTCTCGCCGACGCGAAAGTATTCGGAGCGCGAGTTTCGCGCGGCTCTACCACCCTCGAAATCACCGGAATCCGTTTAGCAGCCCGGAGATGTGGGCGCCTCGGCGGAGGAAGAGGGAAGGCCGGAACATCGGGAGGTACACACAGAGGAAGTTGGCAACAAAATACATTTAAGTTTTCTTTCGAGTTCCGCGATGTATACGAACACGCGATGCTCGAAGTTCGACTCGACTGCTATCGAGACGCCACGCCGGCACGCCAAGAGACGACGATTCACGGATCGACAGATCGGCCCTTTTCCTCCTGGCCGATCATGATATCGATGCTCTCGTAAACTTTTCTCCTCTTCCCTCTCGAAACAAATCGGGGGCAAAACAGCCAATTATTGGCACCAAATCACTGATCCTCCTTTATCATTGATCTGGAAAGACCTGGTTTTTCTTGCGATCAACAGCAATTGTTCACAGTTCAAGTCGTAAAGTTCGTTTTTGGGATCACAGAGAGTGCAGGCAAAAAGTTTAACTCGATGCTGGTCGATGCAAGAAATACTAGGTTTCTTTTTCTAGAGTATCAATGTCCAAGGGAACGTCAATAATTGGCTGTTTTATCCTTAATGTAGACGTTAAAAGATTTTAATCAATTGATTAATTGAATTCTCTGTCGAATCTCGAGCATCTACCAATCTGAACAAAAAGGAATATATATATATATTAAACAAAAATGTATATAATTATATATAGCTCATTTATTCTTATATACACAAAAAAGTATCATTCTATTGCTACGAAAAACAATTAGATAGTTAACATTTTTTTTATTAAGTAATGGTTATCCTCATCAAGCAATATATATTTTCTTAATAATAGTTTTAAAATATATAAATTTCACATTATATAAATTTCAGAAAAGTTTATTATCATGTGTTTAAAACAAGAATTTCTCTTACATATTATATATATTCTCTTTGCAATAAAATGTACATTGTAAAATTTCATCGCAGAAAAAGTTATTTCGACTCTATATAGTAAACTGATCAAATTTTTTAACTAATTAATAAATAATTTAACTAATTAATTTTTATTTAACTAACTAATTTTTTATTTATTTCTTGATTATGCTAAAATTTACTAGAATAAATATAATATTTGTGATGGGCTTATGTGAACTACTTGCAGATATACCTGACATTTTCTTGAGTAAAATATATATTTTTCTGTGTGTATAATCATATGTATAATTATATATGCGCCCACAAAGAAAAATATTGTTGAATCGAGAAAAGAGAAGACAGTTTCGTTCGATTAAATGTTGACATTACGGACTATTGTAAACGTAAGCAGTTGAACATAGAGACAAATAAAAAAGTCTAATTGTTTTTCGTAGCAGTGGAATGATACTTTTTTGTGTGTGTAAGAACAAATGAGCTATATATAATTATATATATTTTTGTTTAATATAGAGACAAAATTCATATCTATAATTATATATAATAATTTTTTCTCAAAGAGAAAGTAAATTCCCGAAAAAACGCAGAAGCGTCTCAATTGCGAATCGTGCTTTTCACTAAATTTTCAGTTTAATTTGTAGGCCGATATTCATAGTCGAATCTTATATTTAAGACTGTCTTAAGTTCATTTTCAGATACTCTTTGATGCCAATGAAATGATTCGTACAGCATCTGAAGATTAACTTAAGACGATCTTAAATATAAGACCTGACTATGAATACCAGCCGTATATCCTTTCTTGAAGATTTTTCCAATTTTCTCGATGCAAACGTCAAAATTGCACCAGCCAACGCCATCCGACGACGAGGAGGGTCAACTGATGTCCATCGCGACGTAGCTTGGATCAGAACCGGGCGGTATGGGCGCCGTACGGACGCGACGGACCTTATCCGTCGAGAAAAGCCGCGGATGCAGCCGCACGCAGTTCCATGTTCGCATTTTGCGAACGTAGCGGCGTTCTGCGTCCGCGGGCGATTCGAGATGCGAGCGCGGGCTTCCCTCTCTTTGTCCTTTTCAAAGGCACTCGATCCTCCCCCACGAGACGTTTTCCGAGGAGGGATGCGCGCGGTGGTGGCGGCCGAGCAAGAGTGGGGATGCACCGCGATTGCAATAAAACGATGGAAATATTGGAATCGGCGCAATATGATTCCACGACGGGTCGCGAAATGAAACGAAACAATGTTTTGCGCTGCGCGGAACCGTCGGCGATCCCACTCTTCCTCTCGTTCTCTCTCTCATCCCGTCCTCTCACCTCTCTCGCCCCGCGCCAACCGAGGATTTGTTAAATATCGAGCGCGTCTAGCTAGTACCGTGGCGAAAATGGCCGGCGTTTAGTCGTCCCTTAGTTCGCGTTTAAATCGACCTGGCTTAACCCGGCTGCTCGCGGCACCACAGGCTCTGCTACCCTCGCTCGCATCACGTCGCGTCCATCTCATCGTCTCCTCCATCCCATGAAGACACCGCTCCCGGGGGGCACCCGCGTTTTCAAACGCGTGCCCTCCGCCCGCGAGAAAAGCCGGACGCGTCCGGGAGAGAGTGCGAGCACCTGGAAAACTGCGTTTTGCCGAGATACAAACCTCGCGAATACGTCCCGCGAATGCGATTCGTCCGCGAGAACGTTGGATGGATACGAATAGACGCGAGACACGAGACTCCGGGTGATCAGAGGCGCGCTTGGATCGCTCTAACAAAAGCGTTTCGGGACTGTTCTCGGGGTAGCCGCGACGAATACGCGCCGCGTCGAGCGCGCGGTAAGACGGACGGGGCGTTATTAGCGAAGTATGAGTGCACATGGGAAATCGATTCACTTGTTGGGACTTAGTTGCGAGCAACGATATCACGTGCGAATCGCACGCGGCGATTCTCGTGACCCACTCGACGCGACGCATACAACACGTCGGCGACGCCGGTGGCACCCAAACAGCTGACTGTTCCAAAACCGCGCTTAAACAAACGAACAACGCTGCCGCGAGGCAGACGACGGTCGCGCGACGGACGGGACATTTGTGTATACGGGCTCGCGAATTAACCTCGAATCTAAATCGATCGGCCGATTGACCGGCCGATTTTCCGGTGTTTCAAGGAGAAGTGAGGTGAGGTGAGAACTCGGTCAAGAAACCGGGAAAGCATGTCCTCGGAGACGACGACGGTGTTGCTGAAGAAGCGAGAGAGGACGCAGAACTGGATCCCGGAGGAGAAGAGCGCCCTGTTCGCTCTGATCAAGCTGCACGTGAACGCGATCGAGAACAAGAAGATCGACCAGGCGGCCTCCACGATGAAGGCCCTCGCTTGGCAGCAGGTCTACTCCGCGTTCCGCGGCCGATTCTCCGCGGACAGGGACATCGTGCGGATAAGGGAACAGTGGCGGCGAATGAAGTCGCAGGCGAGGATAGAAATGTACACGTACGCCGAGAAGGTGCGCCGTCGCGCTCGTCGCTGTTATTCACGTGGCGTTCGCACAAATTCGCCGCGCATCACGCGACATTTGCTTTTGGCTCCGGCCGCTCACCCCGCGTCGCTAATGTGTGTCATTAGTTGTCGTTTATTTTATTTCGCTTTGTTGTTTATTTTTTATTCTGTCAAGTTGGTGTCGAAAGGGTCCGTCGTGTCAAATGAAATAGAAGATGGAATTAGTAAGTTTCGAGGGATTAATCATTTTTACGAATAAAGTAAACAACATCGACTGGGAACTTCTTTTTACACATTCAACGAGGTCTTCCTATTCTCTTAATTTTGTTTTTAATTATTTACTTTTTATTCTGTCAAGTTGGTGTAAAAAGAGTCTGTTGTGTTTGTCAAATGAAACAGAAGATAAAATTAGTAAAATTTTGAAGGATTAATGATTTTTCTGAATAAAATAAACAACATCGACGCGGTATTTTTTAAATTTTTAATTGGGACTTCCTATTATTTGTATTTTATTTTATATTATTTATTTTTTATTATATTAGTGTAAAAGATATGTCGTGTTTGTCAAATTAAATAAAAGACAAAATTAGTCAATTCCGGAGAATTAATAATTTTTACAAATAAAACGAACAATATCGACTCGGAACTTTTTATATATTCAATGAGTTTTTCTATTCTCTTAATTTTACTTTTAATTATTTACTTTTTATTCTGTCAAGTTTGGACCGTATTAATGATTTTTGTCGGTGTCTTACAAGTAAACCTACCCATAAGGTACACTTCGATTTCTTTCTAATTTGATACAAAGGTTAATAGAAGTACAAAAAATATTTAAATCATATTTTTTCATTTTGACCCATTTTGAATTCACGAGCAGTTTATAGTTTTTTAATGTTTTCACTCCTATCATCAACAAGTATAACAAAAATAAGTGCATAAGAAATAAAATTGAATACAAGATGTAGTCAAATAATTTTAACAAAATCGACATAGCTGAGACATGAACCATTCTAAATTTCTTTAGCCAAGATTCTAACTGAAATATTTTAAATCTGTGTTAATTAGTCGAAAATGGTTCGAATCTCGGCCAAACCAAAATCCGCCAATTTTAATTAAAATTTTAACATTTTAAATTGGCATAGCTGAGACACGAATCATTCAAAATTTCTTTAGCCGAGATTTCAACAGAAATATTTCAAATCTGTGCTAAATTAGTCAAAAATGGTTTGAATCTCAGCCAAACTGAGAAATTATTTGTATAAATAATTTTTTTCAACTTTTTACATGTTTTATTTAAATATTTTATTATTTATATAAGTAATTTTACACATTTGACTTTATATTCATAAACAGCAAACCTAAAACACCTATATCTTGTATTCAATTTTATTTCTTATGCACTTTTGTTGCATTTATTGATAATAAGAGTGAGAACATTAAAAATCTATAAACTGCTCGTGAAACTCAAAGTAGGCCAGAATGAAAAAGTATAATCTAAATATTTTTTGTACTTCTACATTTTTGTTAAATTAGAAAGAAATCGAAGTGTAACTTTTGGATAGATTTACTTGTTAGTTATGAAAAAACGTCGCGTGGAATAATCGTGCGATCTTAATTGCTTCTTATTCCCATTATTTCTTACGATCGCTCGTGCAGGTGCGAACTTTGGGACCGGAGGTGGCAGCTAAATCTCGTCCGTCAAGTCTGTCGGTCGAGGTGTGGAAGCTAATGGAAAGCGTGCGGCGGAACAATCGCGACGCCGAGCGTTCAGACGACAGCAGCAGCCAAGACACACACGAAAATCCGACGACAAATCGGATGTCGACGATACACACTATCTTGGACAACTTAATTGGCATACCCGCGACACCAGAGACACAAGGTTAGATGAACATAGATTGCTATTCTATCCTTGTTTTGCTAACTCTCCAATTCTTCCCCTTATGATCGTAATATCATAATATCTCTCTCTCTCTCGTAACATTGCAATTGACCATTTTAATAATTAAAGTACTTGGATAAACCTCGCAAGATAACGAGAAATTGGTTATTTAATACAGGGATTGATACCTTATATAATTTTGCCGAATTCAAATGTAGCAAAATATGGTGCGCAAATATTGATTGTCACGTCTGTGAAGTCATATTTCGCGTTAAATCCATTTTCGCATGACTTTAGCGTCGGAAATTGAACTTAACCGATTTATTATTATTGGCTTATTAATCGATTTTCATTGAACGTTTTCTGCAAAAATATTTTTAAATAACTGTATGTTAGCCAATATCGTAACAGTTTCTATCCTTGATTCAACGGCAAGATATGAAATCAATAACGACATTTACGACACGGAAGATAACGCCATATCTGGCGTTAGGTTCATTTTCGCATGACTTGCATTGGAAATTGAACCTAATCGATTTGTATGATTATCGATTCATTGATCGTTTCATTGAACGTTTTCTGCAAAAATACTTGTAAATGACTTTATATTAGCTAATTTCAATCCTTGATTTATAGCACCAAGACATGAAATAAAGATCGAAATTAATAGCTATATTTATGACACTATAGATGACGCAATATTTGTTATTAGGTTCATTTTCGCATGACTTTGGCATCAGAAATTGAACCTAATCGATTTCTATGATTATCGACTCATTGATCGTTTCATTGAACGTTTTCTGCGGGAATATTCTGCGCAGCTTTGCATTAGCTAATATCTCACTAGTTTGAATCCTTGATTCAGCGCAAGAACACGAAATAAAAGTCGAGATGGAAGATACTTACAATACGGAGGACGATAACAGCCACAGTGAATCCCCGCGCAAATCGCCGCCGAGTCTCTCGTCGAGGAAGCGTCCTCGCACGGCGACGTCGGCGTCGGCGACGGAGGACGAGCCCGTGGAGTCCCTCGAGCCGAAGATCGCGTACAGTGGCACAACGTCCCGCATCGACGATGGTATCTTTCGTTCGTTTTCTTTTCGCTCTCTTTCAAAGATGGCGCACGACGAGTACGAAAGAGACGCGCGCTAACGCGCAAACAAATAGCCGAATATCTTGCTTTCAAGCGGCGGAATACCACGGCGGCGCGCACTACGAGTCACTCAGTGACATGCACGACGCGGCGCAACAAAGGGCGATGTGGGTGTGCAGATTCACGCAGCGCGAACACGAGATCAAGCTGAGGATGCTGCAGATCGAGCTGGAACGTGCGGAGCTGCAAAAGCAAACTGCCCTGAACGAACTGAAAACTTCCGAGATCAAGAGGCAACTGATCGAAAGTCAAGCAGCGGAATACTTCAGGTCGATACACTAGCATTCGATGCACTCACCCTCTGAGTGAATTGCCACTCGAGCACTCCGACTGAAGCACCAATTTCACCGCCTCCTCGAATTGTCCGCGTTCTTGAACGTTTACGTACGCGGAGATGTCTCGTGATGTTTGTTGGTTATATACTCGCCTCCGTAACTCAAGTCGAACTGCCGCGCGTCGCGGCAACTCCGAGCCCCTGATTGGTCCTCGGGATTCTGTCCTCAGCCAATCAGAAGGAGAAGAAAATTCAAATCAGCGGCAAGTTCAAATCAACGTACGCGTTGCTTGTAATTATTAGTATTCTCTGCAGTTGTTCATTTGCGATATCCGATTACATCAGTAATGATTTTAATGTCAACTGCGATTGCATTATCGCGCCCTTTAAACCTCTAAATCTCTCTCAATGATTTATAACGGAATTGAACATTTACGCGTAAATTATGATACTTTAAGGTTAGTATTTATAGTCGAATCCTATATTTAAGACTGTCTTAAGTTTATCTTTAGATGATGAATGAATCATTTCATTGGCTGCAGAATATCTGAAAGAGAACTTAAAACTGTCTTAAATATAAGACCCGACTATATAACTGGCCTAAGTCTTCGTGTAGACAACGTAAATTATGTATGAAACGTCACTTATGTAGACAAAAAGAGTAATTTATGGATATTGTTCAAAGAACGTATAGCTTGCCTTAAAATTAATTAAAAAAGTTCATTGTATTTAACCTTTAGAATCTTGATGTAAACATCCCATACAGCACAAAAGTTTGAAAAAGATTTCAGAAAGATCTCAGAAAAGTGCAATATTTCTGAAACTTTTCAAAAGCTTTTTGAAACTTCTGTGCTGTATGGGATATGAATTATGTTTCCTGAACAAATTAGAGTCCACAAAATTCTCTATTTATATTCTTACCTACAGAGAGTTAAATCTATTAGTCCACAATACAATAGAATGAAAAGTTTATATAATCTGTTATTCCTTTTAAACATTACATTTATAATTAATATATAAACGCTGACTGCCACATAATTGAATTACTCACTTTTACATATTTTAAATAATTTACAATATCCTACATAGTTTATCTTGTCTATACGCAAACAATCTACATGGATGTGCTCTTAAAATCTACAACCTCGGGGTTTACACAATAATCAACTTGTTTCGTGACATTGTGACTAGATTGTGCATTTGTGATGTTGCTCATGATGACGTCTGTGCGTTTCATAATTTTGATATCGACGGAAAGTTGCCAACACAGCACGAGATATCGTCGCCGTTGGTCGCCGCGGCGCCAGCAGGCTCGCGTTTGAGTTTACGATCTAAGCAGCGCTGCGTTCGTGACGGAACACTGTGCTCAAGGTAGTTCACGTAGTGTTGCCGAGTCCTCGCCGAGAGTTGCCCCGACGCCGAGTTCGAGGATCGTGAAGATGCAACGGGCGATTAGGACGTTCTCGCGAAACATCTCTGCGCTCAGGTATCCTCGCGAAGCCTCACGTCGTTTTTCGCACCACGAGCAAATTCGCCGAACACTTTCAATTCACGCTTCTCTCGTGCACCCCGGCGTTTCTTCGCGCACACGCAGACCCCCGTCTCTTCACTGCTTCGTCTTTTACGCAGTAATAAGTACATACGTTTTCTGTAAGCGCAGGAAAGAGCTCTCCTCTTGCGCTAGACGCAGATATCATTTGTCCTTTTTCTCGACCCAACGTCGCGAATAGGTGACATATGACCAACCTACCTGGGTGCCATATCAAAATTATGTAATACTATAGTGGATCTCAGATAACACAAGAGTATTCTTCGAATGTCCTGTTAATATTTTTTGCAGATGTTGATATTATTCTGTAGATACACCATACAGAAATACTGTTGCGTTCATAGTGTATTCAAGTGGCACAGCTGTAAATGTTCCATTAGTGCAGAATATTTACAAAATGTAGATTAATCATACATAAGTCTAGGATTTTATAATTATGAAGGAATAATTGATTTAAATATTTGATTCTGTATATATGTTTCACCTCGTTGAGCTGTGATCGATGCATATTACTAATTGCAATATTTGGAGTCGAGTTACACAGATACATTGCACGTGCACACTCAATAAATCTTGAATGTTCTGAGAATAGTCAAATGGATATTTGAACTTTCAGCAGAGAATTCATATGCATATATTAAATATATCCATATATTCTGTGATTTATATTGAATATACATGTGCATGTATTGAATACATATGTGTGTATTCTACATTTTAGAAATTTAAATATTCATATTTAAAGACTAAAGCAAAAAATGTGCAAGCTAAAGTACGTATTTCAACGTTGATACTTTTACTTTAAGAGAAGGTTTATGCCTCACAAGAATATTCATGGGATATTAATAGAATATTCTGTGCTGTCTGAGATTGAGGCAGACACAAAATCTTCCAAGTGATATTTCGTTTAACCTGCAATCTCAATGCTTCTCATTTAATCTCATGTTGCTACATTGAATGTTTCTTGTTGCAGTCAAGTGAGAATGGCAGGAGAACGTGGTTCTGGTGCTGGCAAAGGAGGAGGTGGTGGTGGTACTATTCGCGAGGCTGGTGGATCCTTTGGCAAAATGGAAGCGGCCCATGAGGATCAGTACTTCTATAACCTGGTCGGTATATCTCTTTCGTGAACTCCATCACGTTGACGATCAGTCGACGATCTGTTCATATGAGTCTGGAATCTAATTTCAGCAAAAGGAACAGTTAAAAAAGATGAAAGAGAGCCTGCACGACGAGATCTCGTTCCACGAGGAGCAAATCAAGCGTCATCAGGAAGCCATAAACCGTCACAAAAAGCGAATCACAGATATGGATGAGAAGAAATGAAAAAGTTCGAAGTTATTGGCGCGAGACTTCCGATTTCGGCGATATTATTGATTTCAATGTAAAGAGATTCGAAAATAGTAAGGATAATAGAGTGTCACAGCAGTTTTTTTTTTATGTATAATACGTTACATTGAATAGATATTATATATATAAAAAATACAATACTCTTAAATATTAATTAAGTATTGCATCATATTACTTTGGAGTATTGTACGAATTGGTTACCTCAACGAGACTTTTGTCGTAAGACGCCTTTGTACTTGTCAGATGTCTGAAAAGACTTATGCCTGAGAATAAAATGCGTTTTTAATCGTTGCTTAAGCGTGCCTTTGTGAAAAACAAACAACATTACAAAAATAATTCTGACTATGACGTTTTCACTATGTGAGATTATAGTTACAAGTACCAAATATTTTTTCTTCAGATACGCGCAGATACGGTATTGTCGAGTTCAAGTTCAGACATCATGGATTCACCATTTGCCTTTTCAAAGTGCGACGGTTAACGTGAAATCTTTCTTTTCCATAATTTTTCACGACTGAAATTCGCGCATGAATGCCGATAACTGAATGGCGGATGCGAATTTGTTTCGTCCGCGTTACGTGTGTAACGTTTTGAAAACTTATATATATTTTCCCGGCGAATAAATCGAAACTTTGTGTATCAAATATCTTCCGCTGCACACGTCGTGTCCTATTCCGATAAACGAGCGCGATGCTTCGTCGTGTCGTTGAAAATATGCGCGGATACACGCCCAGGTATTGTAGAAACACGTTAAATTCGCAGACAACGTTCGCGCATCCCTTTGGTTATGTCTCACTTTTCTGATATTACAGACACGCTCTCCGTCAAATTATAGATACGTCAACGGAAGGAAGAAACACGACTCGAAGAAAAGTCAAGCGTCATTCGGCGAAGTCGCTTACGAGATGGAATATTATTACAAACAGGTGACGCCCCGCGGAAAGCTATTTGAAAATTGAGGAAGCAACAAGCTTGATACATAATATCTCACGAATGTTTAGGATAAGAAATTACTGAAAGTCATGAAGCAAAAAATCGAGGACGAGGTGAGACATTTGCGGCACGAGGTCCAAATGATGCGGAACAAAATCGACGAGTACAATCACAATATAAACGAGAATCTACGCTTCTTAAAAAGCCTGGAAAGCGACCAGCCTTTCGCCGGGGACAAGAAAGATTAATCGGGATTGTGTGCTTTTGTCTTTATTGTCTACGTGACGTATACACGGTCTTTCCTCATGTAGACAATGTAAACACATTACGCAGAATATTGTAAATTATATTAAAATACACAAGAGAATAATTAAATTTGGAGACAGTTACCATACCTATTTTGGGTAATCATTATTAATATAATGTTTCCAAAAAGATAAGTTGCATGTGCAATTTAATTTCGTTATATGATAGATTAATTGATTTAATTTTGAAAGCGTACTTAGAGAATGAAATTGTAATTAAAAAATGTAATTAAGAATAGCTTTGTAAACTCTAACCTGTTTAAGAAATAACGTTTATGTATTTATATCAGAGGATTCTGCAAGTTCGATAAAAATACAAATCTGTTGAAATGAAACTTTGGGTAAGCCCCATTTGGTCTTTAAATAATATTCATAAATTACTCATTGTCTACATAGGTGATATTTCGTACATGATTGATATTGTGAACACGTCGACGTACATGGAGAAAATGTTTAAGTAAAAATTACAACAAAATTTTGTAATCTTGGACTATATAGAAATTATAATCGGAATCACTATATATTTGTTTTATATAGAAATTTTATATTTATATTTATTTGTTTTATATAGAAATTTTATATTTATTTGTTATATATATATTTGTTTTATATAGAAATTTTTTTATATAGAAATTATAATTGGAATCACTACATATTTGTTTAAAGATGTAATCATTATTTGACCTTTTACCACAAAAATATTTACTTGAATGTTTCTTATATTTTATATATATAATATATTTTATATTTATATAATTATATTTTAATATTTTATATATATTGAATGTTTTCATATATGTTTATATACATGTCGTATATTCGGTAGATCGTTAAATTTAGTATTATAGAGACTTATACCATAAGATGTCAATATAGTTTAACTCTTCATAAAAAACAAAGTGAAATACAATCTCAACATAATTTCTGTCGCAATATTTTCTCCGTGCAAAGTATCATGATTCAAACACGTATTGCCCGCATTTACCTACTTCAAACTTTAAAATATCACGTTCAAATACGTTCAAACAAATCTTTATATTAGCATTCTTTAATTTGATATTAATCCTGAAATTGATCTATTACTTTTTGTAAAATTCCACACATTAATCGCCGTAATTCTAAATTGTTTGTTAATTTTATTTTATTTTTGTACTCTTCTCACTACTCTTAAAAAGTATTGTTTTCTTGTAAATAAATAAATAAACGTCCTCTCTTCGAAAGTCGCACGGTCTAGACGAAATCGGGCGATTCGTAATTGCCGTCGAGTTATCGAGAGCAGTCGCGAACGATTGTCGATCGCTCTCGCTCCGCGCCGCCGCCGGCCGCCACCGCGAGATGGCGCGTGCGCGCCGCTCTCGGCGGCGGCTCGGAGCACGTTATGGCCACCATAGCGGTGGTCGACGACAGCGGGCGATCGTCGCGCCGCCAGTGTCTCGCGGTTCATCGATCAGTGTGGTGTGTGTCTGTCGCGTTGTTGTTCCGCGGAGAGATTTTTTTCTAGTGCTGGTTTGTTCCTGCCTGTATCCGTCGTCGCTTCGACGCGGATTTCTCGCTGGTCCGTCGCTCGCGAGACTCGTGCGCGCGCGCTGATACGGAGCACGGGCGCCGTCGTCGTCGCGGGGCCCATCCGAGACTCACAACCGGGAGAAAGATGCGACTAAGGATACACTGGGTTCTGGTTAGCACGGCTGTGGTGATCCTCGCAGGATGCAACGCCGCTACCGAGGTGAGTTGTGTTTCGTGTTGTCTGTAGCGCGTCGAGAGGTGACGAGAACGGCACAGCGAAGAGGAGAGAACGGCTTTCTCTCACTACCTCTCGGCGTTCTCTCTCTCTCTCTCTCTCTCCGCCTCTTTTTCATTCTCCCCATCGTTCTCTCTCCGTCTGTCTGCTTGCCTGTCTCGTTCTTTCTCGCGCTGTCTCTCCCTGTCTCGCACAACTGTCACGCTCAGCGTCTCGGCCAATCTGCTCCGAATCGAACCACGCACGATCATAGGCCGCTTTTCTCTCCGCTTTTCCGCACCTGTGCTTCCCACAGCGGAAAAGCTCCTTCGCTATTCGAGCCGGAGCGCTTACGGACGCGCCGCTCTCGCTCTTTCCCTCGCGTGTATATCGGCGTTTACGCCGACAACGCGGCATTCCTGGCGTCTCGTTTCGCACAGTGGTGTTCAAATCGACAGTGGTGTTCGCGGCACCGCTCGCCGCGATCGGCGGCGATCGCCCAGTTCGTTCGTTCGTTCGTCCGGCCGGAAGTTGCCGCCTTCTCGCGACCGCGATTCAATTTTGACTCCGCGCGAGAACGCCGGGCGTCGATTCGATGATCGTTGCTGTCGCGTTTGTACTCGCGCCTTCGATTCGGACGATCGTAACTGAGCGATTTCGCTCGTCCATATTGCGGCCGACACGTGCGCGCTCGTTTACGACATGCGGCGACGGCGAAACGCTATTTCGGAGAGATGTCTATCGCTGAACCATTTCGAGAAACGGAGAGAGAGAAAGAGAGGAGTGTTGTTTATTTTGTTGTTTTTTCTCCGTCCAGAAACTTCCTATGCGCATTTTTACAGTCCATTTCAATATTATTCCACAAAAGATAACAGTCAATAATATCGCGATTGAGAGATACGAAAGTAAGACAAAAATAAGCTCCAATCCCCGGACAATCTAATCCTAGACATGTTTGTTGTTTTAATCTTTAGATCGTCGGGGTTTGAAATGTTCGAATCCCTGAAGAAAGTTCCCTAAAGTTATATCTTATATCATAAATATACATAAAATTTCGATCACGGTTTGCGCCTATATTTAGACTTTCCGGCGGTCTAAATATTTACCTGTTTGTCCTTTGTACTTTTAAATGTATATACATGTACAATTTAGTAAATTTAATCAACAACTCAGACGTTTATACTATATGTATATCGAATTCATGCATATATTAAATACATGTAGACAGGATTAAACAAAAATTCAAGACTTATAGGATGGATAGTGCTCACATTGAATTGAATAAAAAATACTTAGTGAACATAAGTCGAAAAACTAACTCTTTCAAAATTAGAAGTGATTTTCGATTTTAATATAATGTAATAATGCAAATGTGATTTGCTCGTTTATATTATTATATGCGGCGCGAAAATCTTACAAAAGATTATCTCACAACTGTATGTAACTATATAACACTAAAGACTAATACAGACTCGTAATTACAGATCGCAAAGACAAATGTCTAATATTCCTAATTGAAGTAATGATTGTAAGATAATCCTTTGTTGTGTAAATTTTTTGTTTGTAGAACTGGGAGAGCGAAAGGACAGTTCAAACACCTTTCGTGTGTATAAATAATAAAAATGTTATAAGATTTTTTTCTCTATTTCTCTCTCTCTCTCTCTCTCTCTCTCTCTCTCTCTCTCTCTCTCTCTCTGTCTTTTCTGTTTTCATGTGACAATATAGACAAGCAAATTATGTACATCATCAAAATCAAAGGTCCCTTTTAACTCTGAAAGAGTTGATTTTTCGATTCATGTTCATTAAGTATTTTTTACTCACTTTAACGAGTACTATCTATCCTAATAAGTTTTAAACCATTTTTTAACACCCTGTGTATTATCTTGACAGTTTAAATATTTAAAGACTAAAGCAATGAGAATGTCCAGGATTAAGTACGTGTCCAGGTACTTTTACCTTATATAGTAAAAGAAAAAGAAATAATTTTTAATCAAGAAAGAAAGAGAGAGAAAGAAAGAAGGCACGCGTACTTCTCTCTTTCCCTCTTTCTCTCTCTTTCTCTCGTGAAACTCCGTTTGCGTAACGAGCGGGCTGTCTACGTTACTCCGGAGATCGGGTTTATCCCCCGATAACGCAACCTCTCCGTTATGTCGGTTTTGTTTTAACGGCCGCGGCAACTTTCGAAAGAATCGAAGCAAGTTCGGAACAAGCGGGTTCGCGCGCACGCTTTCTATCTTCGTAATTAGGTAATGAGAAAAAATAGCTTTTAAATAAAATATACGGGGTACAACTCCGGACGTAGTTTCGCGGGCTGCGGAGACCCTAATTACATTATACCGTAATATGCGTGTGCTCAGCTTACGATTTTTATCACTAATTCACGCGCGGTCCCGTTAATTAGCGAACAAAAATCTCGCGTCGCGGAAAGTTGTAATGTACCGTGTGTGCTTTTCGCGTTACGCGCGTAGTATAATGGCCGGTCTAATAATGGCGGCTGTGTATAGCGGGTGTTGACGACAGCAAATATTCGCGTTTTGTTTGACGCCGGCCGTTTTTTACGATACACGCTGGTTAATGGTTAGCGCAACAATTTGTGGAAGGTGCGTGTACGCGTATACGCGGCATCGATCTCGGCGAATATCATCGCAGGCATATCATTTTTATCGTTGCAACATGTAGGATATACGTTACACGCACGGTAGCCGCGCGAGATGCTAACGAAAAAAATAAAAACAAGATAAAGGGACGCGCGCATTATGATTTGCATCAAAGGATCTGCTTATAAATTTCCTGTTTGTAAAATGAAATTGCGTTTTTGCAAATTTATTTTACTATCTAAATAATAAGTATTAATTTGAAGTCACGTTGAAGGAAGTATTTGATTGTCGAAACCAAAATTTGATTAAAATAGGATCAACCAAATGTTCGATATTTTTATTAAAAAAATTTATATTAAATATTTTTATTAAAATTATATTTTTATTAAAACAAATTACCGCTATCTTGCTATGCTTAGTGACTAAGTAAATATATTACTAAGAAAATAAGGCAAAATAACAGCAATTGACTTTCTTAGTTGTAATTACCAAACATTGATCCTATTTTAACTAAATTTTGCTTTTGCCAAACAAATTTTTTTTTCAAAGTACACTGAGAAGAAAATGTTTGAAATTTCTAACTATAATCACGCAGAAAAATAATTACTATAAATTGCAGTGAAGAAAAACATTTTTTAAAATTAGATTTTAACATAATGTTTGTGATAATAACCTAGAGGAATATTTTTTTAATTAAATTCTTCTATAATGTTAGTGATAGTAATCTAGAGAAGCATTTTTTAATTAGATTCTAGATAATGATCTTATATGCATGTCACTACTACCATTTTCATATTAGAACCGTCCAAAAATATTGTCGGAGTCAAAAGCGATCATAACTTTTAGTTAGATCAACCAAATTTCTCTCTCATTGTAATTTGATGACATTTGCCACATTTTACTCAGCGCAGTGCTGTTTGAAGCATAAATCAGCAATTTTTTGGTCCACAATCGGCCATTACCCAAAACGGTGCGGTGGGAACACTATACTGAAGAAATTATTTTTGTATTTGGAATTAAAATATTTACATGCAATTTCGTTGGCACTGGATGCATTTTGTCTCAAATACATGTATTGTTGAAAAAATAAAACAAACGAAGAGAATATTGTAGTACAAATAGAATAATACAATAGAATTTTAGTAAGTCAATAGCCAATAGAATTTTAGTAAGGAATAGACTGGTACTATTACGCAAATTATAATAAAACATAGTAAAAATAACTATGAACATGATAATTTTTACTACGTTAATTTTTACTATTATATATTCATGATCACTTTTATTATGTCTTATAATTTTCCAATTATTTCCAATAATTTTTCAATTATTTTTAATTATTATGTCTTTTATAATTTTCATCATAGTGTCAGTCTATTTCCGGAGTACTAAAATTATTAGTACTATAATTTTCACTACAATATTCTCTCCGTGTAGCACCAATAAAATTTTTTGGCTGCAATTATCAAACATTCAGTTGATCCCATTTTAACTAAATTGTGTGCCAAATTTTGGTTTCGACGACAAAATCCTTTTTCTTCAGTGTATTTTTCTTTTTACACCGCATTCCTCTTAATATGTAACATATAACAGTAAGTTTTTTATTTGTATGATATTGCTTTTTATGAAGTTACTCTGAATAATCATTGTATTGCTTTTACTGTAAACCTGCACTGAAAAAAGGATTTGATTGACGAAATCAAAATTTGGTTAAAATAGGATCAATCAAATATTCGGTAATTAGAACCAAAAAATTTAATTACCGTTATTACTTTCTCAGTAATATTTATTTAATCACTGAGTAGAGCGAAATAACGGCAATTGAATTTTTTTGTTGCAATTATCAAACATTTGGTTGATTCTATTTTAACCCTATTCTGGTTTCGCCAACTAGATCCTTTTTTCGGTGTGTTTACGCAAAATTGCAATATTCAGTATATCTCACGAACGGCGCAGACAAATTGAATGAAATCCTAATCACGAATGTGTTTTCCTGCGGCGAGCGTTGCGTTGAATTCTTACACAATTCTAAGCATTTCGCTTTAAGCGCATGGACTCCTTAAAGCTCTCATTGTCGAGCGGCGCGCAACCATCGTGAGAGCGTGCGTCACTCGCGTTTTGCCGTCGACAAAAACGGCCTTAGGGTTACTCGGGGGGCGGCCCGGGGTGGCGGCACAGCTGAGGGGAAGGATAACGCACCTTGTTAAACCCCCGCAGCAGCCGCACAGCAAAGTTTGCACAATGATATCCGGCGTTCGTGCCGGTTCGCGTCGGCTACAGACGATTTGCGGTAGCCGGGAGTATTTCGCGGCCGCTACAGTTCGGCTTATATTTCGGGCGGTTCGCGCAGTCCAGTAACAATTAAAACGGTTAAATTAACTCTGTGATTGCCAGTTCCGGGGTTTCTGT